TGGTGGATAGAAATGCAGGTGTTAGGAAAGTGATGGGGAGTGTGGGGAAGTCCAGCACAGGTGGACAACAGACAGCAAACACTAACAGAGGTTCCTTGGTGAGGGCTGATGTGCTGTGGATCCTTCCACTTGGAAGCTGATGCCTATGCCTGGCTCCTGAGCACACTCCCTGTAGACTCCCCTGGCAAGCCAAGGACTTGGATGTCAGCTTAAGCCAAGCTTTCCCTTGCTAGAACCAAACATATTCGGCACCATGTGGGAAATTAAATTTGTTTTCAACCACTCGCCATATCTTGCCAGTGTGAGCCTTGGTGAGTTAAAAAGGGGATTGAGGGGAAGGTTGGAGAAATGGAATGTCTTTAACTCTCTTACTGTGTCAACATGGTGTGGTGATTCTAGCAGTATTTATCTTAGCAATCTTGAAATTGATGTGACATGAGACAGGATTTCCACCAGGACAGTGCCAAGTGAAATCATGATCATTTTAAGATCAGGGTGATCAGGGGATTCACAACCATATGTCACCATGGATAAGAGGCTTAGGCCCTCTGCCCAGTTAACCCAATCTGAGTGTCAAAGGGAAAGAGTAACTCTTATTCTAGACTGTAGAATTTTGACTATAAGTAATTAAATTTACAAGAAACAAGCACCATATTAAATAGCCCCGCGACTCCCTGATTATGGGGGAGTGACCACTCCCGCTTCCTCCAAACAGGCCTGGAAAATAGATCCTCGTGAGGCGGCAGAAAGGAAGACGCTTAACAGAACTCATGATCAAAGTATCTAGCTGCCTGTTTGGGGAAGCTGTCCAAGCTGTGTTTACCATCCCCCTGCCTCCCTTCCTCCTAAACACAGAGGAAAAACAAAGTAGAATCCTGAAGTGCATTTCAGAAAACTGTGCAAATTTCAGGCATAAAATTAGGGGCAGTCATAGCTACCGAAACAATCAAGTGACTAGGTCAAGATGGACACTGACATACGAGCCCAGAAAACATAGGGGACAAGATTCATCATGTGAGGGGAAAAAAACAGAGGCCTCTTAAATATTCTGACTGATATTTCCCTTAAACCTTTCAGAGCTATATATTTAGAGGAGTGTTCTCCCTCCCATTAAGGAAGACAAGTCATCTATAAAAATAGCTGCAGGAGGCAACAGGGGGAGGTAAGTTCTCTAAGATTTATATGTAATATGGGTTTGAGGCACAGAAGAGGGAGACTTTCCTGACTGAGGAAGTGGAGATGACTTCACGGTAGGGGTGAGGGGTACACGGACTGTACCTTCAAGGATTCTGACAATTAGAGGTGAGCTTGAAGGGCGTTCAAGGAAAAGGAAACAGTGTGAATAAAGGCATAGAGACAATTCAGATTTGTGAGTTTTGAGAGTAATGCAGAATTAGAATGGAAAGGTGAGCTGGGACCCAATCATGAAAGGCCTTTAGTACAATAAGCTTTGAGTGCAAGAAGCTCGGGCTGTACTCAGGAAGCACTAAGGAATCATTGAAGGATTGTAAGCAGTAAAGCCATAAAAGCTATGATTTTTTTTTATTGGTTGATTGTGTTTTTATTTTCCAGGCAAGAAGGCAGGGGAAAGATTAGCCCAGGAAGGAGAAGAAGGAAGGAAGAACCTTTAGGAGACTATTGCAATAATTTGGTGTAAGGGGATGATGGCTCAAACAACAGAAATAGAAACAGCTAGTGATGCTACTGACACTGATGGTCTAGATAAGCAAAGAGAACTTTGAAGTGATTAAATCAAGCATAACTGTCAGTATGAGCATCTCAATGGGACCAAAAATATTTTTACTGTTCATGGAACTAAAAGACAAAAGTCCGCAGCGACTGGTCTTCCGAAAGGCTGACATGGCCATTCGTGGAAAGGCCATCTATCCACTCCCTGTTGGGAAAACAGGAATTATGGAAGCATCTTCAAACATAAAGCACAAGAAATGTATTAAGAAACAGATGGTTAAATAAAGAACTATCCTAGAATTCACAAAAAAGGACATATCACTGACCTATAAAATTTTTTAAAAATATAAACCTCATTACCACCAATACTGATTCCTTATTGCCTTCCAGAATAAACCTCGGAACAGTGGTTTCCCCAGCTCTGAGCATATGGGGTGGGTAGAGGAGTAAAAGAAGAAAGGAGGAGGGAGAATGTCCCGAAGGGGGAAGGGCAGAAGGGGGCTAAAGCTGACTCAGACAGGCTAAGAGAACACAATGAGGATAGTTTTAAAAAGTGTGCATCATACTCTGGACTCAGAACGTTTGCCTTCAGTTACTAGTAAGACTGTACTTGGACTCTTACAGGCACGCCTCTCGTGACATTACAGACTGGAACAGAAGGTTTCATGTAGAATATGAAATAAGCTGCTAAATATTCAGAAAATAAAATCTCCTATTTTGCACATGGCAAAATATATAAGTGTGTGTGTGTATGATCCCCTGGAGAAGGGATAGGCTACCCACTCCAGTATTCTTGGGCTTCCCTGGTGGTTCAGATGGTAATGAATCCACCTGCAGTGTGGTAGACCTGGGTTCAATCCCTGGGTTGGCAAGATCTCCTGAAGGAGGGCATGGCAACCCCCTCCAGTGTTTTGCCTAGAGAATCCCCAGGAACAGAGGAGTGTGGAGGGCTACAATCCATGGAGTCGTAAAGAGTTGGACACGACTGAGTGACTAAGCACACAGCATGTGTATATATATATATATATATATACATATATATATATAGGGCTTCCCAGGTGGCGCTAGTTGATAAAGAACCTGTCTAACAATTTGGGAGACTTAAGAGACATGGGTTTGATCCCTGGGTCAGAAAGATCCCTTGGAGAAGGAAATGGTCACCCTCTCTAGTATTCTTGCCTGGAGAATCCCATGGACAGTGGACGCTGGCAGGCTACAGTCCATGGGGTTGCAGTCGGACACATACACACACATACATACACACATAAACTGCACTAACAACAAAGCAAAATAAATAGAAAGATAATATTTCTTACCTATCAATTTTTCAAAGATTTAAAAAGCTTTTTAATACTCGGATTAGTGAGGGTGAAGACCCATTGGGCAATTTAAATCAGAAGTTTGAAACTGTTCATACTCTTTGGCTCAGAAATTCTATCTCTAGGAAATGATGCTAAGGAAATAGTAATTGATATTTGTAAATACTTTTTGTTTATTTTATTCAAAATTGGAAGTAACCCAAAAATCCTACTTAGAAATTTCTTAAATAACTTTTAGTTTATCCATACACTGAAACACCATGTAGCCATTTAAAAGTATGCTACAGTTGGAGAAGGTGAGGGTGGGATGTTTCGAGAGAACAGCATCGAAACATGTATATTATCAAGGGTGAAACAGATCACCAGCCCAGGTTGGGTGCATGAGACAAGTGCTCGGGCCTGGTGCACTGGGAAGACCGAGAGGAATCGGGTGGAGAGGGAGGTGGGAGGGGGGAGTGGGATGGGGAATACATGTAAATCCATGGCTGATTCATGTCAATGTATGACAAAAATCACTACAATATTGTAAAGTAACTAGCCTCCAACTAATAAAAATAAATGATAAAAAAAAAGTATGTTGTGAAACACTGCGTAGTGGCTTGTAAACTGGTTTGTTATACATTAACTGGAAAATTTGTGAACAAAACAGTATATGAACTACAATATCATTTTAAAAAATATATAATCTATGACTGAAATATATACCACAACCATGGCTAAAGTTAACCATGCTTATCTCTGAGGGGTAAAGCAATGACTGATAGTTATTTCTTTTTATCTTTCTAAATAAATTTCTATAACAAACATTTACTACTATAATAAGAAAAAGAGATATTTAAAAAGCTGAACTGGTTAATGGGCCTCATCACTGTAATTACTGTAACAGATATTTGTTGAGCATGTACTACGGGCCAGGCAATACTCCTGCTATTGTGGGACTTCTCATTTAGAACACTTCATTTTGATTGCTTAGTCAGTTAAAGTAGAGAAGATAAGTATCTTTATACCAAGATTCTGCCCATTTCAAAAAACAACATCCACTTCATATCACATGTGAAACGAATTGCCAGACCATGCATGATACAAGGTGCTCGCGGCTGGTGCACTGGGATGACCCAGAGGGATGGGATGGGGAGGGAGGTGGGAGGGGGTTCAGGATGGGGAACATGTGCACACCCATGGAGGATTCAAGTCAATGTATGGCAAAACCAATACAATATTGCAAAGTAAAATAAATAAATAAATTAATTTTTTTTAAAAATAAATAAAAAATTTTTAAAAAAACATCCACTTCAAATTAGCTTTAGCAGAAAAGAAAATTCAGGATTTCATGAAACTGAAGTTCATGGATAACCAACTTCACACACAGTTAGATCAGGTGGAACTTTCAGAACTTGTTATCTCATGAAATTTCAGCCTACTTTTTCCTTTATGACAACTTCAGCATCAGTCTAGCTCTCCTGACACTGTTAGACAATGGCTGTCTACAACTCCAGACTTATGTCCAGTGTCCCCAACAACTCCAACAAAAATAGAAACTACCTTTCCAATAGTTAAAAAAAAAAAAGATTGAGTGCAGTTGGTTCTAACAGGATCACATGCTGGGCCCTGAACCAGTCACCATGGCCTGAGAAGCATAATGCTCTGATCCGCCAATCCGGGGTTCATATGACCTCTGTTGGAAATAGACTGAGAGCAGAGGACAGATTGTCGCCCCCAAAGAATCATGGTGCTATTACCAGAATGAGGCACGGATCCTGAGACAGTGAAGAAAAAAAACAAAAACTGAGATAGCCACTATGGCCTTACAGTAGAGGCAAGATGGACAGGTAGGAGTCCTGGCTTCAAAGGGTGAAACTTCATCCGAAATACCACGCTGCATTTTGCCACTGTTATTTGATGAAGCAAAGGATGTGAATGTCACCAGGAAAATTCACTTTTAGGCTCATACTCACCCAAATGTAGATATATTTTGAAAACATCCTTACTTACATGTATCAATACATTCTGCCATAAGAATTCTGATCTCACAGTACAGATGTGAGATCTGTACACAGTACAAATAAACAGAGAGTCAAGCATGTTAGACATCTCCTCATCTGACAGATGATATGAGAGGGACCCAAAGTCTTGTTGCTACCTAACAGCAAAGACAGACTAGAGCTCTTACACATCTCTCCAGCCTCGGCATTGCTGCACCATGAGGACACACCCCATACAACTCTGGCCCGCAATAGCCCTTCAGATTTTTAAGATTTCACTGTGAATGAAGCACACTTAAAGCTTTAATAGATCAGCTCATAAACACCTCATTTTTGTTCTGGCTAAAGATTAAACAGTGCCTATCCATAGGGATAACTAGCTAAGTGGCAACATATGTCCCCCAAAGCTCACTTTGAATAAGTTCTCACTTTGTTAATTATTTTTCATAAGTATTTTAACATTTCAAAGCTCACACTTAATACTAAGAAACCAGGCTTGCCAAATACATTCACAGTAGAAGATCTGTCACTCTATACCTAGATCTACCATCTGCTAAACTTGTCTCTCCATAACTGGGAATAAGACCAATGTTCAAATCTAGGACTTGGTTACAGGGAAGGCACTGGGTTTTGGGAATAAGATCCAGATCTAGTAAGTAGGACTGGGCACAAGATCAAAACTAGTCCAGTAGAAAGTCTGATTTGATGCTGAGTAAATGAATCTAAGTCGCTGCCATTAATAGCTTCCTTGCCACCTGCGCACTTGGTCAAAAGACCCCATAAGCAGCTGTATCTACGATTCCATGGCTCAGGGACTTCCTCCAGCTTCCACCTCCCATTCTTTATTTTGAACCCTATTGTTTTGGTTTGGTTTCCCTGGTTCCTTCCTGTTTCCTTGAACTTGGATTTTCCCTCTTTGCCTATTCTCTTTGGGTTGATAACGGAGTTGCTTGGCTTACCTCGCTCCATCTTGGACCTTCAATGATATGCTCTGCGGCCCTTGGCTTATCCTTCCTACCCTTCCCTGAACCCAGCCACGGCAATTCCAGCTGGGCTGGGAGCAGCCTGTGTCCAGTGGCCTGGCTCCTTGCTTGCCTGGGAAGAGAGATGAGGCACTGAGTTCTCTTGGATGGAGCTACTGGGTCTCTTAAGTCTAAGATGAGGATTGTACCCATCTTCATCAGGGTAAGTTGGTGGCAAATGCTAACTGAGCACTTACTATGCGCCAGGCACTACCCTCGGTGCTAAAGATACGGCAGAGCATGAAACAAGCTCTCTGATCTCAGGCAGTTTAGATTCTATACAGACAGTGAAAAAGACAAATGTATGCACAATTAAGACAAAGTAATAATAACTACAAACCAGGTCGGGACTGTGCTAAAATGAAAATTAAACAGAATGGCACAGACAGGTTCTGGGTGACTAGGAAAGGCCCCTTGAGGAGAAAGAATGAGTGACAAGAAGGAGCTAGCTTTGGGAAGATCTGGAGGAAGAGAGCTTTGAAGGAGAGGGGGTAGCAGATACAAAGGCCATGAGGCAGGAATGAGCTTGGCATCTTACAGGGATGGAAAAAAGACCAGCGAGGCAAGAGCCACAAAACAGACAAATAATCTGCTTGAAACGTGAAAGTGGGCTTGAAAACATGACAAGTTTTCCTCCCAATTCAACTAGATTTGCAACATAAATAAGATGCATAATTGTACATGTTTGTCACAAATCTTATTGGCAGTTCTGGTAAATAAATGTAGGACCAGTTGAGTCTCCTTGACGCCTGTCACAACTGTGAATACAGCCTCTGATAACATTGTTTTGTCACTTTTCACTCCCACCAGCAAAGAAGACAGATAAATGGCTTCCTGAGACAAATGGCCCCAGTCTCCAGGGCCTGGGGCTCTGAAGGAAGGAGACGTGAGCCTTGGAACATTTCTCAGGGTGGCTCCTTGAAGAGTTCATGGCCACGAGCTCTCTGAATCTGCTGCAGAAAGAGCTGCTGCATTAATTCTTCTGAAAAATTAGATATTGTTTGCAGTCCATTAAAAGTTCAAAAGACTTATAAAATCAATACCAGACTAATCATGTGCCACTGCAATGTGTAAGAGAAAATCCTTGATTATAGCAATAATAAGGATTTAAAGTGAAAAACACCTTATGTTTTGCCTGTATCTCACCACAGCGCCCTGGACAAGGAAAAAATTGTCCTTTCTGGGAGTGAATTCTCATGCAGGTAACATTCTTTCCAGGTGTAACAGCTGTGGAGGGTTGAATCATGCTTTGCATGCTAAGTCTCTTCAAGTCATGTCTGACTCTGTGCGACCCCATGGGCTATAACTGGTCAGACACCCCGTCCACGGGATTCTCCAGGTAAAAATACCAGAGTGGGTTGTCATGACCTCCTCCAAGGGATCTTCCTGACCCAGGAATCGAACCCACGTCTCTTACATCTCCTGCATTGGCAGGTGGGTTCTTTCACACTAGCATCACCTGGAAAACCCAACTGAATCATATCCCTCCAGAAATTCATGTTCAGCCAGAGCCCCAGAATGTGATCTAATTCAGACAGAGTCTTAGTAGATGTGATTATTTAAGACACACATATCAGGGTAGGGCCTAAATTCAATGACTGGTGTCTTCATAAAAGAAAAGAGAGTGAAATTCTTACACACACACACACACACACACAGAAGCAGGCCATGTGAAACCAGAGGCAGAGACTGGAGTGATGCAACTGAAAGCCAAAGAACACCAAGACTGCCAGATGAGGACCAGAAGCTAGCAGAGGCAAGGAAGGATTCCCTCCTAGAGCCTTCAGAGGGAGGAAGGCCCTGTCAACAACACCCCGCTTTCAGATTTCTAGCCTCCAGAACTGAGAGCAAACGTCTGTAGCCTTAAGCCACCCAGTCTGTGGTACTTGGTTACGGAAGCCCTGGGAAGCCAATGTACCAATCACGGGCGCCTCTGCCCTAGTACCAGAGGAGAGGGAAGCTCCTGGGTGTTGGGAACCAGCTGAATCTACATCAGCAAAGTGGAAAACCGAGTATTTATTTGATAAATTTGACCACCAGCAATTTGGGAGGAGGAACTTAAATTGGACAGGGGTTAAAAGCTGGGACTTTGGAATCAGAAAGTCTGGATTGGGTCTGAACTCTATCCTTCACCTTGGTCAAGTTACTATACTCTAAGCCCCAGCTTTTCATAGGTAAAACAGGAACTTAGCTCACAAGCTGACTGTGGGATTTAGAGGGAAACCTCTGTGCCGAGCCTGGCCAGTGCCCATCCCACAGTAAGCCCTCACGGAAGGACAGCTGCTGTATCATTACACTCTTCCACCTGGAGAAACACTTCCTATCCTTGCAGGAAGGAATATGGTTAGACGCAAATGTGTTTTTAGAGTCTATACTTTTTCATTCAGCTACTGCTCAGCATGACCTGTCTCAAACTAAAACATTCCACATTCACCAGTTCTGAATGAGAGACAGCGACCCTATGTTCAGAGTGAGCCCAAACTCCCCCAAACATATTTTTAAATGATTTCTTGTCTGTCTTAAGATATATTTTCAAAAACATGGGTTTTAAGGACCACAATATTTTCAACAACAGTATTTCTTGAAAGCTCATCATTTGCCAGGCACTTCCCAAAGGTCTCCTCACTCAGACCTTACCACAATTCTGCAAACTCAGTGAGAAACATCTGGTTTTACAGAGGAGGAGGCTGAGACTCCGAGAAACTTCTGAGGATTCCAGACTGACTCTAAATTAAAGTAAGAAATAAAAGCAGTGTTGGGGAAGGAGTGGGCGAGGTAGGGATGCTGCTGCAAACACTCCTCTTTCCAAAAGGCAAAATGAAGTCCAGACTAGAGAGTCAGAATTCAGCATTGGGAGGCCTGCCTGGGTTCTGATCTGGGCTCCACCCTCACCTGTTGAGTGAAGCACTGTTTCTCCGTGGACCTCACTTTCCCTACCTGTGAGGCAAGCCATGCAAACCAGATGATCTCTAATAGCACGTTCTGCTCATAAAACAAAATCGAAATTATTTAAAAAATCCAAATGATAAAATTAAAATTCTCTGATATGCAGTGTCATTAATTTTAGGCTGTATTTTTTTAAGCAATGCAACGTGGAAAAAAAGATTAAAGATGCTGAGGTTGAAGTTTCAAAACAAATTCATAATATTTACAATACAGCATTGTAATTTTAGTTTTCATAACACTGATCCTACTCCTTTATTTCAGTTGTTAGCTCATATCAAAACAAAAGCTGGGGCATTTTTCACTAAAATCCTATTTTTTTTTTCTTTTTTGGTAGGAAAGTTTGAGTAATACAAAAAATAGAAATAATAATGCTTCACATTTAAATAGTATCTTTGATCTGAGGCCTTCCTGTATGGTATTTTTATAAGCCATGTGTGTTATTATTTCTTTTGGTAGGTCACATTAAAGTCCTAGGATGTCTAGACCACTGATATTATGGGAGCTCTTCAAAGTAACACAATGATATTTAATAATAAACTCAGCTTTTTCTTTAGTTGTACCTTACATCCTAGAAGTGCTGAATCTTTCAGTTTTAAATGATGTTTCATCACCCTGTGTATTTTATAGCTAGAAAAACTGAATCCAGGCAGACTCTAAAGAAGACTCCACATATCTGTGCTGTTTATTAGTAAGAGTAGCATGCACTTAACGAGGGGTCTACTCCGTTACCACCATTGTTTCAAGGGCCTTACACGTGTTAACTCGTTTAAGCCTCGAAATCCTAGGAGGTAGGTTATGATGTCCCCATTTCACAGATGGGGAAACCAAGGCAGAGAGAAGAGAGTAACTTGGTTCAAGAGCTGACGACTGGTCACTCACAGAGACAGGACTTGACTCCAGTAGTCTGGCTTCAGAGCCCACAATCATCACCTTTACCCTCATGCGGGGAGACTGAGGCTCATCAAAGTTTAGTAACTCAAATGTTTTCCAAAAATTCCCATATAACCACTTCCTCATGGTAACATTCCATCAGCTTGCCCTCTCCAGAAGAAAATAAATAGCTCTCTCCATCTATGGTTGGCTGGTTCCACTTACTTGCATTGGTCCTTATCTTTAGTAAGTACCAATCTGGAGATTCCACTAGACCATCTTTATCTTTTGTATCTTATAGTAAATGCTTCAGTTGTCAGATATTTGATCCTCACATACATTAAAATATAGAGCAAAAAAGAGCAAAGTGTATACTAGTCTTGATTTCTGAGCAGATTGAGTTTCACATCAAATATTTCATCTTCTTCCAATATATAATCCAATTACTTCCAAATCCCCATTATTATTTTCACTGTACATTCATGTAGTGCAAGAAAAAAAGTTTTTGAAAACACCTGAAAAAACCTTCACGACTGGGCCAAATCCATTTCTGAACCATCTATTGCTATTTTTATTCCTTGGATTTCTCTAGGTCACATTGTTTAAAATTGCTATCATCTGTGAAACATTCTAAATCCCTTGACTCAGAAGCACACTGGTCAAACTTAATTTTTAGTGAGCTATTTTACCAGACATTACCTTACTCCTATGATGTCGATTCTAGTTCAGGGAAACAGACTTCTTTTCTCCCCCAGAGGAAGATGGAACGACCTTTGAAGCTGATGTAGCTACAACTTAGGAGAAGTGATAACAACCACTCTGGAATCATTCGCTCCGAAACTCGGGGCAAGGACACCAAGCTTAGCAGCACAACGAGCTTCTCAATTATTTAATTATTTTTTATTTATTTGATTCTTTATTTCCTGCCTTGCTCCACCAAGGATTCAAAGTTCATCTTTTTTTTTTTTTAAGGTATGCTGGTTAAGAATTTTTATCTTCCAAGTGACAGATTTATTCATAGCTATAGGCAATGCTTCCCTCATTTTTCTGACGTTCCTCCACTCTTGTGGCAGGTAAGATCCAAAAAAATATGAATGTTCCTCCCAGCAGAATCCCTCCCCAACTCCCCCTCTCCACAACCAATTTCCTAGGGATCTCTTTCAAGGAGTCCAGAAATTAAATTTAGAACTATCAGGCTAAGCACAAAAAATAAAGAGGTTACTCAGTGTGTGGAAATTGGCTTTATCTCTCATGCATTTGCTTCTCTTATTAAGGAACCCATAAGGTCCACCTTCTCTTCATCTGCCAAAAAGGGCTGACATCAGTTTGAAGCATTCAAAGTTATCAAGGGGCCTGAGGGGAAGAGGGGCGCCAGAGGAGGGGGTGGACCTGCAGACTTGCAGAGCCTGGCCATGTCATAAGCATT